CTGTGACTTATGCAAACAGATTGGTTTGATGCTGTTTTTTCCAGCTGTCCTTTTTCCCACTTTAAGTTAGATTATTTCCCAACATGAATTGGAAAACAGTCAGAGGCAGTATGGATGCAGCTAAGCCCTGTTGCTTTACAGACTAGAATAATCACAGGGTTAGCTCTAGCTTTCAGGGGTTGAAGCTTTAACAGCTGTAACTGCAGGGAAGGAAAAAACAGAGGCACACACGTTAGAGAAGAGAGTTATGGAAGACAGGATTCCAGAATCTCTTGCATCATCATTTGTGATGCTTTGTGATTGCTTTGGTGCCAGCGACAGATGTTCATAATTCTGTGGTTTGAAATAAAATTTAGTTCCTGTCTCTTTTAATTGTGACCTTGGTGATCTGTGTGTATCTTATATTCTATTCAGGTAGTCCTCAACTAACGACCACTCGTTCAGTGACTGTTCAAAATTACAACAGTGCTGAATGAGGGGGACTTATGACTGGTCCATGAAGTTGCGGCTGTTGCAATGTCCCTGCAGTCATGTGATCACAATCCAAGTGCTTGGGCGCCTGGCTCGCATTTACAACATTGCAGTGAGCTGCAGTCACATGATCGCCATTTGCAACCTTCCTTGCTGGCTTCTCACAAGCGCTGGCAGGGAAGATCACAAGTCATTTCGCAAGACATTCCTGCCACTTTTTCTCCCGAGTAGCTGCACTGTGGAGTACGAGATCCCAGGGATTTCATACTCCATAGTACTCCCCTGCTCACTTGAGCTCCCTAGTGCCCGCCCGTGGGTCTAGCCGGCCCACACTCCCCAGTGCCTGCCCACAGTATCCCCTACCCCCCCCCCAAATGATTCTTGCCTGGGATTTCCACCTCTTCCCGCTTAATGACCTTCACAGTCCTCAAGTTACAACAGCGACCAGGACTACCGGGGTTGCCATCATTAAGTGATGTGGTCATGTGATGTCACGCTTTACCTCTGCTTCGTTTAGCAATGGCAATCCTGGTCCCAATTGCTGTTGTAACCCGAGGACTACCTGTAAGGAACTTTATTCCAGAATATGAGTTGCATAGTTAAACATGAATATTTGAGCATAGCTTAGATTGTATAATCAATATTTTATTGATTATACAATATTAAAGCAAAATTTGAAACTCAAAGTAAGATGCTACAGAGGCACCTGATAGCTGTAACAAGTGGGGCAGAAGTACTTAATTTCTTGACCTGTGAGGTGCTTTTCTGTTCTTTCATTATCAGTAATGTTTTGGAGCTTCTGTTTGGCAAAGCCAAATTAGACATTTATACCTAGTATAGAGAGAGTTGTGTTTATTTCTGAAATATTTGGCTGTCATGAAGTATACAGCAGAGTAATACAAGCTGTGAAATGTTAAAAAAGAGGTTTTGTTTGAAAGTAAACTTGCAAACTGCTTTATAGTTCCTTGTTCAGGGCATGTAGCCCACTAACATCTGCCATTTTGAAAAAACAGGTGGAAAAATCAACATGTACAAGTGACTAGCAATAAATTGGCTCATTAACATGCATACCCAGGATTTCTTTTTTCCAGTAAAGCTTTTTGGATGGAGTGGGGGATCCAAATTGGAGCAGGGCAGGACATGGAACATGGCTTTGCAGGATCTTGTTGCTGGTCTGCCCTTATGGAAGTACACTGAGTTCAGTGTGGATACTTGCACTGTGCTGCTGCAAAACAGAGGAGGAATGGAGGCAGACTGGTCAATGATAGCTGAATAAATACAGGAAGTACCCATTTTACATTGCACCCTTTATTCTTCCACCTTTTTAAGCCCGGATGGTTTGCTTACAAGGAAAAATAGAGAAGAGAAGTCAGCTGAGCATTATTAACTGAACTAAAGAGACAAAGCTGGCTTGAGAAAAGAAAATGGGTTTATTTCTCTCCTAGAGTGTATAGGGTAGGTGACTGAGGGAGAAATCTGGAAGAGGAGCATGAATAGGAATTGACCCTCTGGCATTACAGCAAGTCCTGGCTTTGGTTTCCAGAAGTGGTCAGGGAGCCAAATGAGCCTGGGACATTTACAAGGCACGTTTATGGACAATAGTTTTATGTAAGGTTTGTTTCAACATTTGAAATTTAAGAGATAGTAACCTCTGACTGGGAAATCTTAGCTAGTCATTGTGAATGATAGTAAGGGATTGCATAGGCAGATGTGATTGGAATGGTTTCCTAGAGTGCATTAGAATTATGTTTTTTATCAGTTTTGGAAATATAAAATTGGTATATATTTGTTTTCATGTAATACTTGATCAGAAAACAATGTATTCATTAAAAATTTGAAAACCACACAATTCAAATAGTTTTTCAGATAGAAATACACTATGTACTATGACTTTAGAACTATTTGATTTTGTGCTTGCTCAGTATCAACATTTTTGTACTTAATCACCTGATTTATGAAAGGTTTTTTAATGAACCATCTAAATATTCAAGCCTTAAACCTTGTTATTGTTAAGTACTTTTATTACAGCATTTTCTTTTTAGGTTATGCAAATATATATTAAACAATAATTCATGACTTGGTTGTTTTAAAAAAGTCATGTTTAGAATCACTGGTGTCTAAAAAAATACAGTGAATAGGCAACTTTTTCCTCCTAGCTCAGAGTGCTTCATATTTTTTATATTGCGTTGCTATGAGGAAACAAATTGCTTTTTTCACTCCAGCACCACCATCACTCTGTGTATGTATATGTCTGCATTTTAAAGAGTATTGGAACCAGATTGGCTCCTATTCAATTAAATGAAAATTATATGTCACACATCGTATACATTTTAAAGTTATATGCTGTGCATCTTGACTTGGGAAAGCAGAGAACTGATCAAATTTGCAGATGATACTAAACTATTCAAGATGGTAAAAACCAAAAGTGTGTGAGCAGAGCTCCAGAAGGATCTCTTTAAATTGGGTGAATGGTTACCAAATGGCAAACACAGTTCAACTGAAGTAAGTATGAAGTTACACACACACACACACACACACATGATGAGGTCTGAGCTGTCTCTTTACCAACCTGGAAAAAGATTTTAGGGTTACAATGGATGGCACAATGAACATGTCTACTCTATGTATGGCGGCTGGGAAAAAGGTAAATTCCATGGTAGTGGTCTCTAGAAAAGGGGTAAAAAGAAAATTGTCACGCCTTCACACAAAACGATGGTACATTGCATCTCAAATACTGTGTACTGTTCTCAGATGCCACATTTGCAAAAAAGGAGTGGAAAAAAGTACAGAAGAGGGCAATCAATATGCTTGGGGGCTCAACCTTCTTCAGTGAGAAAAAGCTAGAATGTTTGGGACTCTTTAGCTTAGGAAACAGTCAACTGAGGGGGAACATGGTTGAGATGCATAAAATAATACATGCTGTGGTGAAAATGGACAGTTTTTTCCTCCTCTCAACATCATCCATGGAGTGATTTGGAGGAGATTGAGAGCAGACAAAAGAAAGCACTTCTTCACCCAGTGCAAAATTAACTTGTGGAATTCATTATCAGGAAATGTGGCCACTAAGGATTGCTATAAAAGAAGATCAGTACGTTCATGGAGGACAGGTCTATCAAGGACTATTACTCTTGAGATTCAGGGTTACTTCCAGGTTGGGGGCAGTATGCCTCCAAATACTAGTTTCAGGGCAATTAACAGTGGAGGGAAGTATGTCTCCACCCCCTGTTGATCAACAATTCAGACACATCTGCTTAGCCACTGTGAAAAATGAAATTCTGGACCACAGCAGACATTGGCTGATCAGCAGGCCTATTCTTAGGTTCTTATCTCAAATGTGCAATTACAATAATATGCTCTATCATTAAATGTGAAAACAAACTAGCTTTGGGCATATTTCCTGGAAAATAAGCCACACTTTGTTCAGTTGGGAGTATAAGTAAATATATCCAAGAAATGCAGTCATTTAAATAGATTAGCAGTTTTATGCTGATAAAGCGGCACTTGAAGTGCCCATCTCTGCGTGCGTACTTTTTGGCTGATGGTCGTTCACACTAGTTGGGAAAAATGCATAACAAATGTATCTTTAAAACTTTATACAGGAATTCTTAAACTTTTTTTCCACTGTAGGTTAAATTAATCAAAATCTCTCAAATCTTGGAAACCCAGCCAGGAATAATAAAGAGGGATGCCCCCATACAAAAAATAAAACTGATGAGGTGATGTTGTCAACAATAATGTAGGGGGAAAAAAAACCAGAACCTAAACTACCTCTAGAACAAATCACTCAAATATTTAACCACTGGACCCTGATCTTACCTCATTTTTTACTGACGTTTCTTAAAAATAAAGTAGGACTGATTCTACTGAAAGAGTCATCCTCAGGTGTTGACAATAATAGGGATATAAAACTAGTTATATACTAGTGAAGCAAATTAAAATAAATTAGGGGTGTTTTATGATGATCAGCAACATATGATCCTGATCCCGAATATTTGTTTGCAGCATCTGAGTGACTTTGGAACAAACCAAAACCAGACTATCTTAACCATAAAAAACAATGCACATCATAAATGATATACCCCAATCATTGTAGAGTGTGGAGACCTGCTGAAACAGAATGGTTTTAAGGATGTTATAGAATAAGATGAGGGTGGAAATAATAGCACTTCAAGGAAAGTGTAGTTCATAATGTGAGGTCTCCTAAATTCACATGAGAATGGAATCCTTAGAAGTCCTTCTCTCAGTGTTCATATATGACAGATAATGTTACTAAGAATTTTGCTTAATTAGATCAATGAATCTTGTTTCTGGCTCGTAGGAAGGCTAAATACTCTGGCAAGTAGATAGGTGGAAGATATGCATATAAGAAAGGCTTATCTTTTATTGATTTTATTTTAATTTCTTTGATTTAATTTCTTTGAGCTGCCCAGAGTCATTGAGAGTTGGGTGGCATACAAGTTTAACAA